GTTGGTCCCCCAAACCCCCAGGTTGGTCCACAGAGCCCCCAAGATGGTCCTCAAAGCCCCCACGTTGGTCCCCAAGGCCCCAGGCTGGTCCTCAAAGCCCCCAGGTAGGTCCTCAAAGCCCCCAGATTGGTCCCTAGAGCCCCCAAGATGGTCCCCAAACCTCCAGGTGGTCCCCAAAGCCCTCAGGTTGGTCCCCAACCCACCACATTGGTCCCCAACCCCTCAGGCTGGTCCACAGAGCCCCCAGGATGGTCTCCAGAGCCTTCAGGCTGGGCCCCAAAGCCCCCAGGTTGGTCCCCAAACCCCCACATTGGTCCCCAAAGCCCCCAGGTTGGTCCACAGAGCCCCCACGTTGGTCCCCAGAGCCTTCCTGCTGGTCCCCAGCTGGTCCCCACCACCCAGCCTTTGTTTTCCCCCGGGAGCCACAAATGAGGGCAGGATCCGGGTGCTGCCCGCCCTTGGGTAAATAACGCCAGCTGGGCCGGCTGCCGGGCACCGCGCACACCTGGCACCCCAGGGACGAGGATGGGTCCTTGTCCCCACCGCGGGGCCACGCCGGGGTGGTCCCACGTCCCAAGGAGGGCTTGCCCGGCTGGAAATTTTGGGGGAGAAGGTCCCCGCCAGCTTGGAAATGTCCTGGTTGGGCTCCCAGCGCTGGGATGTGCTGTCAGCAGTTCACGGGATGCTCCTGTCCCCTCCCCCTGGGATGGCCTGTCCCCCTCATCCAGGGTGGCCTGTCTCCTACACATGGGATGGCCTGTCACCTGCATCTGGGATGTCCCATCCTCACCACCCAGGATGCTCCTGTCCCCTCCCCCTGGGATGGGCTGTCCCCCTCATCCAGGGTGGCCTGTCCCCTCCCCATGGGACGGCCTGTCACCTGCATCCAGGATGGTCCTGTCCCCCTCATCCAGAATGTTCCTGTCCCCTGCACCTTGAATGTCCCATCCCCACCACCCAGGATGCTCCTGTCCCCTCTGTCTGGGATTTCTTGTCCCCCATGTCCAGGATGTCCTGATCCCAGCACCCAGGATGTTCCTGTCCCCTGCCCCTGGGATGTCCCATCTCCACCACCCAGGATGCTCCTGTCCCCTCCCCCTGGGATGGCCTGTCACCTGCATCTGGGATGTCCCATCCCCACCACCCGGGATGCTCCTGTCCCCTCTGGGATTTCTTGTCCCCTCCACCCGGAATGCTCCTGTCCCCCTCATCCAGGATGTTCTTGTCCCCTGCATCTTGAATGTCCCATCTCCACCACCCAGGATGCTCCTGTCCCCTCCCCCTGGGATTTCTTGTCCCCCACATCTGGGATGTCCTGATCCCACCACCCAGGATGCTCCTGTCCCCTCCCCCTGGGATGGCCTGTCCCCCCCATCCAGGATGTTCCTATCCCCTCCACATGGGATGGCCTGTCACCTGCATCTGGGATGTCCCATCCCCACCACCCAGGATGCTCCTGTGTCCCCCCCCCCGGGATTTCCTGTCCTGCTCATCCAGGATGTTCCTGTCCCCTGCATTTGGGA